AACTTGTGAGACCAGTGGAAGCAGGTCACTTGCTCTGTACAGGATACCCTGTTGGATTCAGGTGGTATGTGTTGGAGTGGAGCTGATTTGTGGCAGAGGAGGGGCCAGTGGGTCTCTTTGCTGCGTTCCAGTCATTTGTCACCTGGGGGTTGTCTTCCTTTGCAGATATGGCAATGTGCCCTTCACCAAGAACCCTGAGAAGTACATCAAATACCAGGTTGACCAGGTGGGGGAGATGATCGAGAAGCTGTTTGACACATCAGCATAAATTTCCAGCTGTCGTGAACTCTCCAGCTGCCAAGTACAAGCCAGTGCTCTCTCAGCAACCCTTGGGACTCCCTTCCCTTCTCCCCTGCCCCATTGTGGTGGGCAGGGTGTTATACTTGTATTTATCAGATTTATAAACCTGTGGAAACACTCCTTCCTGGCTGTCTTTGCTCTGGATCCATGGGATAAGGCAAAGTCTACCATGTGGGCTCTTACATTTGGGCATCCTCTCACCTGGGTTTGTGTTAATGCCTTGATGTGCAGCAGACATGGGGAGTGTGATTAAAAAAAAAGGAAAGAAAACCACACACACAACCCCCCCCCCCCAACCTTATGGATACAGCCTTTCTGTTTGGGGCAGGAAGCTGTGAGCTCCACATGGTGCCACGTGCTTCCCTGATGGGTTTTGGGAATCTCAGTTCTGTAGGATCCCCAAGGATTTTCACATTGTTACTCTTGACTATTATTTAGTTCAGTGATGGGCTGCGATGCCAGTTCTGGGGTGTGGTGGTGTCTGGCTGTGGTGGTGCAGTCTAGTCATGCACCAGGGTGTTTTACCCAAAATTTGGCAAGCTGTCCCTGTGTCAGTGCTCAGTCCTTTATGAGGCAGTGGCAGGTGGGGTGAAGGCAGTCTGGAGTTGTGACAGAGCAGTGGGAAACCAGAGGGAGCTCCGTGGTGGCCTGGCTGAGTGCTGCCCCTCAACCTGAGGCAGAGCATGTGCAGAAGTGTACATACAGATTTCTGCTCAGCATCTTCCTCCCATCCTTCTTTTTCCTTTGTCTCCTGTCTTCTTAAATCTGATGCATCTCTTCCCTGCAAGCATCCAAGCCTGTTCCCTCTGTTCAGCCCATGGGCATCATGTGTGAAGCAAGTGCTCTCCCACATGCCTTGGAGCAATCCTGGCAGGCTTTGATACAGGAACTGGACTCTGACAGCTTTGCACCAAAGCCTTTCAGAGGAACACCTCTGTTGTATCTGTGGTCTCTGGCCAGGCACCTCCTGCTCCCACCTCCTTCTCTCCTGCTGCTGCTCCACTGTTTGCCTGTAACACTTGAAATACAGGGTTTCCAGAGAGTGAGGAGCACTCACAATAGCTTTGTAATTTGGAGCAAATCCATTATTCACCTGAGCTGTGTTTACTGGAGTGTTTGCTGGTGTCTGATTAGCCCAGCAGTGGCAGAGCTGTTGGATGTTAGTGCAGGTCCTGCTGTGGCCGACCCAGCCTCTTGCCTCGGCTGCTGCCTCCTCAGACAGATGTTTTTCAGGGAGCTCCTGGCTTTTCTAAACCCCTGACCTCCTCTTCCTCCTCAGCCTGGTCTGAAACACTACCTGGCGTAACAAGTGCCTGAAAACCAGCAGATTGGACAGGCTTGTCCAGCCCACACTGGACCACAGTGTGAGTTCAAGCTTTGATCACCCACCACACCTGGCCATTTCTATGTGTCTGTGCAGGCTCACAGTGCCAACCCCAGAGCCCTCCCTGCAGGGACCTTCCCTCCTGCTTTTAGATCTCAAATGTCTGAGGACACCTGAGACCTCAGCACTTGCTGTTTTTCACCTCTGCCAGCTCCAAGAGCCTCCAAAGGCTAGCAGGCGCCAGACAGTGATGGAAAGCATAAGCAAAGTGCTGCTGGCTTGTGTTGTGTGCAGTGTCCAGCTTGCTGGATACACACACTGACATTCACCAGAAGGACCTGGATTCCATCTTTCTGGATGTGTTTCTGCCACTGCAGCAGCCTGATGTGAGTTTCTTTCACCAGGAGAGTGTGTGGAATTCAGGCTGAGCTGTAAAATATGTTTTATTGCCCCTGATCCCAGGGCAAGGCAATTCACCCAGAACAGTCGCAGGCAAAGCCAGGGGAGGGAAGAGGGAGCTTTGCCTGCAGCATTTCTGGAGCACCTGAGCTTTAGTGTGCAGGAGCTGGAATCCTTGCTATGCTGACGCTCTTGTGCCAACCAGAGCCTGTGGAAAATGCATGAAATCTTTTAGGGTTTGGGACAAGGCCACATCCTGTTCTCCAGAGACTCTGGGAATGCGTCTGCATGACCCATGCCAAAAGAGGCATTTCTGGGTTTTGCTGTCAGCCTGTTCCCCCAGGAAAGCTGTACAGACCAGGGCTGGTGGGGAGATGCAGTCAGAGATGGCTCTCCACTACCAGCACCAGTAGCTGGTTGGGTTGTTTTCTACCCCAGGGATGCCCCCTTACTCCTGCATCTGGAGTAAGGAATGGAGGTAAGAGGCAGCTGGGGACTGAGAGTTGAGCTTGCTGGCGGCTGTGCAGGCTGTGCAGTGAGGAGGAGCTAGAGGAGGTAGCAGGAAGAGCTATGTTATTCCCAGGTGGTAATCAAGACCTTCCTTTTCCCTGCGTTAAAGGGAAAACTGAGCCATCCAGTCCCTGTTTCTTAAATCCAGCCTCCCACTCACCCTTGATTCTAACCATTCCCTCATCACCTGCTTCTCCCCTGTGCAGGGAATGAACATGGGGAGCTGGACAGGCTCTCAGCCTCGCTGAGCAGCCCCTGCAGCAGCCAGACCTGCTTTGGGAGCAGCAGCCCGTTCCACGCTGAGCCACCCCTCCCTTGGGGTGGGAGCAGGAGGAGCCACTGGCCCCCTCCAGGCTGACTTTGTCCAACACTGCACAGTGCAGGGAACTGCTCCGTGTGCTCCTTGGCTTTTTATGGTAAGGAATGTGTTTGCAACATGTTAATTAAGAGTGATCATGGCAGCCAGCACAGCCTGGCCCTCTCACACTTGAGCCCTTCACATCCTCGCTAAGAGCTGACTGCAGAGCCTCAAGTGATGCTCAGACCGTGGGAAGGGGCCACGGATGGGGCTGAACCCCCTCTGCCTCCCCCTCTGCTTTCTCCAAGGCTCCTGCAAGGTTTAATGCTCTCCCCTCACCTCCCATTCTGCCTGACACAGACTCTCTGATGCCCAAGGTTTTGGGGCCAGAGCCCCATTTCTCCGTTGTTTATTTTTGTAGCTCCACAGAGGCCCATGCTGGGGTTGTGCCAGGATCTGGGTGTCTCCTACCTGCTGCCTCCTAATACTGGGGAGCAAATTTGGCAGAGTAAGTGTTTGAAAACAAAACAAAACCACAAACCAAAACAACTTCTTTAACTCCAGGGATAAATCCAAGTTCACATTAACTGAGGTTTCAGCTAAGTGTCCCTCGTGTCCCTGCGCACTCTTGGACTTGAGAGCTGACTTTAGCCTATTTATTTTTCATTTCCAGTTGAATATGCTTTTATTAAATTTTAACTGGAACATGGGGACTTGCATTGGTCTTAATTTAAGACAAGACCTCCCAAGGGAACAGACCAGGAGCCTGCCTCCCTCAGCTGGGAGGGTGCTGAGTAGCAGCAGATCGTGATACTCTTGTCTTTTCCTGATATGCTCTGTTATTTGTGGGGGAAAGTCACTTCCCAACATGGTTTTGTGTGGCAGAAAAACCTTTTGGTGCCCTGGGAGCTGAGTTAGAGGTGTCCTGGGACGTGCCTTCAAAGTGGTCATGGGTGGCTGGGCAGCTCTAGAACAGTTAGCAGGGTAGGGCAGGTCTCAGCTGTGGGCTTGGAGGGCTCTTGGAAAGGCTGGGGTGGGAAGGAGGGGAGCAGGGTCAGTGTCTGCTCTGGGATGCTCTGCGCTCATGAGCAGACAGGGGACAGCCATGCCAGCACAGGGACCCATGTCCTTGGGCAGTGCAGAGGTGATGGGTCAACATCTCCATCCCCAAGGTGAGCTGATAACTGTCCAGGAGAGGGGATTGAACCCCTTGGTGTGTGTGGGATCCATCACAGCCAGATCCTGCAGCCCTCTGAGCAGAGGTAGATGAGCGCAGGAGGAAGATAAGGCTTTTAGCTGTGTTTGTGCAGCCGATCCAATGTTTTCCCTGGCTGTAAAGGGTTGAGCAGGGAGATAAATCCAGATATAATTAATGGAGCTGTTTATATGCTGCTCTCTGTGACTTATGCTGCAAGGAAGCTGAGACTAAATATCACAGTTATTGATATGAGGCAGTGGCCGATTTATGGCTCTCTGCATTGGGGCAGGAAGATCTGGTTATAATAACACTCAGCAGGGGAAAAGAAATTATTTACAGCCAAAAGCTTCTCAGAAGAAAGGCCAAGCACTGGGGAGGGGTGGAGGAGAGCTGTGTCCTGACCAGACACCCAGGGAGAACCAGGGTCCTGGACAGAAATAGCCTCCTGCAATGCAGCCCAGTCCTGGAGAGTTCTGCCTTAGAGATTCACAAGAGGGAAATCTGTGCAGACAGCTCATCCCAGCTCCTGTGCACTTTCACTGCCACTCTGGCTGTGCTCTGCCACAGGCTTTTCAAAAGAGTTAATTGATCCTATTCCAGTGATGCTCTTGTGGCACAGAAATGAGGGCTTTCATTTAAGGCCCTTGGCTGCTGGTGGTCACAGGGCTCTGCTCTCACAGAGCCTTTGCAGTGTAATGAGCAGGAGGTTGTGAATCACACCAGCCTCTCATGGGCAGGTACAGCTGTATGAAGAGGGTGCAGTGACATTCCTGTGCCACAGTGACCTCCCTCCATGGATGTGCTCAAACATAATCCACATCCTCCACCGCCTCCACCCTCAGCTTCCCTCCATCCAGCAGGTCCCACCACCCCTCCAGCACCCTCCTCTCCTCCCCTGCAGCTGTGGGGTGTCTCAAGGGAGCTGAACACAGGAGGTGAGATGAAGAGGCTTTATTAAGGCTTTCCTGACTGGCTGGGGACCCTCAGCTCTCACACGGCCCTGGCTGTCTAGTCCCACACCGTGGCTTCAGGGAAGCAGTGCTGCTGCTCTGCTTCACTCTTCTCCACAATCACCTCACTTTGATGAGAGGCTGAGCCGTGTCCAAGCTGTCCAAGGCATTCAAATCCTCCCCCAGTGTGGTCCTGTCCCACTCAGGTTCCTCTCCTGCAGGGCCATGGCTGTGCTCCCCCAGCAAACAGCCTCCCTTCCCTTCTGGTCCTTGGTGACCTTCTATGCTTCTCTCCTGGATTTTCCTACCTGAGCTGGGTTTGTGCCCACATGGCTGTGGCCAGAGCTGCCCTGGGATGCAGCTCCTCTACCAGGTCACAAACAAAACAAGACTTCCCAAATATCCGTAAAAGAGCACCCCACTAACTCCAGCCAGATGCTGTGTTGGTTGGAGGGACCAGAACTTTCAACAAGCTCCAGGTGTAGATGCAACAGGGCATAAGTCTGTCTGTGACAGAGGAACAGGTGATTACACCAGAGTAGTTTTGGGGGGTTTGATCTCTACTCTCAGCAAGTGCTTGGTGGAAGCGAATCCTGCCCTTGGATCCGTGGTCAGCTGCTTGGCTGAGTCTGTATCAGCAGCATCATCACTGTTATGACATCTGGGTGCACTTGAATGAAAAGAGTATGACTGGCCACATTTCAACCCAAAATGTAGCCTGTCCCCAGGCCTGCCATGCTGCAAAGCCGTGGGGTGGGGAGAAGCTTTGCTAGCTGACACTGAAGGTGACGAAGGAGCCATCTGCTTTGTGCTGCTGTCCCACCAGCTCCACCTCCCCCCAGGGCTGGGCTGGGACCCTGCAGCGCGCGGCAGAGCGGCCGGGCAGGGCCTCGCTGAGCTGGGTCACCTCGCTGAGCTCTGCCTCCAGCGTGCTGACGGTGTTGGTCACCTGGGCCACGTGCACCCTGTGAGCTGCCTTCTTGTGCAGGAGGCAGCTGAAGATCTTCTTGAAGCCCTTGCGGAAGTGTTTGGAGACCAGGGCGTAGACGATGGGATTGACGCAGGAGTTGGCGTAGGAGATGACGTGCGACAGGATGCGGAGCACGTACGTGGAGTGGTTGAGGGGGAAGTACCCGAACCAGACGCAGAGGATGACCAGGTGGTGGGGCAGCCAACAGAGGCAGAACAGCACGGCCACAATGATGATCATCCTGGTGACCTTCCGCTTGGCCTTCTTGGACTCGGACATGTCTTGGAGAGGGTCCACGGACTTCCACAGGTAGCGAATAGTCCGCACGTAAGTGAGGCTCAGGATCAGCACCGGGATGATGTAGCTGAAGACGAAGGTGCAGATGTCCATGACCTTGCGCTGGGAGATCTCCCAGATGGGGTGGCACACGGTCAGGTTGGCCAGCTGGAATTCCTGGTAGTAGCTGAGGTAAGGGCCCGAGAAGATGAAGGAAAGCCCCCAGATGAGGCCGATGGCCATGAGGCCATTCCGGGGCGTCCTCAGCTCCCTTGAGTGCAGGGGGTATCGTATGGCCAAATACCTGTGTGGGAAAGGGAGAGGGATGCAGCTGCAGTCCTGGGGAGGACACAGAGAGAGCATCTCTGGGAGCAGATTGGAGGAAGCTCACAAGGGATGGATTTGAGTTTTCCAGGGCAATTAGTGACACAACTGATTCCCTGGTGCTTCTCAGGATCCCTGCACAGTGCAGAATGAGGAAGATCCTCACCCAACCCTGTCCTGTCACCCTCTCTGCTCCCAGCAGTACTTGTGGGGACAAGGGGTATGGTTCCCTTCTGTCCCTCTCCCTAATCCAGCAGATCCTCACTTGATCATCACTCTGACTGGCAGAGCACAAATGAGAGCAGCAGTGTGGATACGAAGGCAGGAGCAAGTCCCCAGGATCCCCAAACAGTGTTCCTCACACTGGCACACATGAAAGCACATCACCCCTTTTCAGTTCTGTAATTAGCTGGTTCCCTAATTACACCCAGAATTGGGGGCCTGTGCTACCTCCCTTGCTTGGCACCTCTGTTCCCTCAGCTCAGGGGGACATGGGGGGAGAGGCAGCCCCTGGCCATGTTTTAGCTCCTGGGGATGCTGTCCCAGCACCTGCTGGGATGGCAGGACACATCCAGCCCAGCTCTGGGGCTGCCATGGCTCTTCCCACGGACTTTCCACATCCCATCTTGCAGGTTTCAGGCACAGAGCAGAGCAGCACCAGGAGCTCCCTGCCTCTCACTCACTGCAGGTACATAACTCACCGACCCTTGCAGAGTCAGGGGCTGAGTGAGCATGAGGTAAAGCTCAGGCAGGAATAACAGCCTTCCTGGCTAAAAACTACCCTGGAAAATGCTGGGACAACCACTGGAGCAAGGGGACAGCACTGGGACAAAAAGGGGCTTTTGCTAATGAAAGGGGAGGGTGGGAAAATCAGTGTCTCAGCTCAAATATCCCAGTGGCTTTTTCTCCTCGAGGTTTGTCTGCTTTGCCGGGGGCTATTGGGAGGGTCAGGGCTCTCTCCATACATCCCAGGAAGAGCCACAACTGCACAGGGACTGAGCTTTGCTTTCCTCTGGTTTTCCATTTCCACTTCAACTGCCAGAGCCCAGTCCTACAGCTTTGGGGTCTGAAAGCTTCCTCCAGCTGGGCACTGAGGACAGGGGTCGCAGTCCCAACCCTCTGGTAGACCCCATCCTTGGTGGTTTTATTTCCTTGCACACAACAACTGGGAAATGCTCCTGGATTCCTCTAGGAGCCCTGGGAGATGGCAGCAATCAGGGTATAACTCCAGGGGATTCTGTCCCCTCTCTGCCTAGGGGGGATCCAGAGAAAGGGGACCCTCAAGGTGCAGGGAGCCCCCCCCATTCCCTTTTTCCTACCTGTCGAGGGAGACGGTGGCCAGGGTGAAGCTGCTGGCGTACATGGTGAGGTAGATGAAGAAGTGGACAGCCTTGCACATGAAGGGCCCAAACACCCACCCCTCCAGGGTGTAGATGGTGGCTTGGAAGGGGACGCAGAAGAGGATGAAGCAGAGGTCGGCCACCCCCAGGTTGAGGATGAAGAGGTTGGTGGTGTTCTTCACCTGCCCGTTGCGCAGCAGCACGGCCAGGACCAGGCTGTTGCCCACCGTGCCCACGAGGAAGATGACGAGGTACACCAGGGGGATTATCACGGACTCGGGATGCCAGCCCCCCTCGGAGCCTGCCGTGGAGCTGTTCATGGCCGGGAGTGCACAGAGAGGGGATGGATGGGGGGAGAATATGTGGAGAAGGCACCGGGCAGGCACAGAGGGTGCAGGAGTGCAGGGGAAAGGGGTGCAAGGAGAGGTCAGTGAGGGGTGGATCAGGGACTACACGGGAAAAGGGGTGCACAGAGAGCACCTGGGGAGTGCAGAAGGGATATAGGGGCAAAGGGGGTGCAGGGAGTGCAGTGGGGATGCAAAGGCAAAGGGGGTGCAGGGAGAGGTCAGCAGGGATTTCACGGGGAAGGGGGTGCAGGGAGAGCGCACTGGAGAGCACAGAAGGAATGCACGGGGAAAGGGGGTGCAGGCAGAGTGCAGTGGGGAGCACAGAAGGGATGCGAAGGAGAAGGGGGTGGACGGAGAGGTCAGTGAGGAGCGCACCGCGAACGCGCAGGGAAGGGGTGAAGGGGAAAAGAGGCGCACGGAGAGTGCACGGGAGATGCCCGGGAAAGGGGGTGCAGGGAGAGCCGGCGCGGGGGGATGCAGGGGGGAGCCAGGCGCCCTTCACCTCCTCCGGGGTCGGCGGGAGCCCGCGGCCGCTCGGTGCGGCTCCGGCGGTGCGGATCCAGCGCTCTCCGTGCGCCGCCGGAGCGGGGGGGCCCCGGGGCGGCTCCGGGGCGGCCGCTCCCGCCCGGCCCCGCGCATCGCGCCCCGAGCCCGGGGAGGGGATCCCGGGCCCTCCCGCTGCCCGTGGGGAGCCCTCCCGGGCACAGGGGCTCGGGGCGGGGGTGCTTTGCCCCAGTGCGAGGTAAATATCTGTTAGTAATGTTACACCCCGGGCCGGGGCTGGGTGCCCCAAAGGGAGCTGGACACCCAAAATCTGGGGTTTTTTTCCTTATTGCTTCCCCGTGCAGCAGTCACTGGGAGAGGGCTTGTTCAACCCTAGGGGCTGCAGGGCTGTTTTTTTTAGGAATGGAGGTTCCTCTCCGACTGCAAATGTGTCCAGCATGCAGCTAAATCCTTGCACCAAAGCACCCGAGGTGAGCCCAGGTTTGCAGGAGAAACCACGTTTTTCCCCAGGGCTGGGGGTCAGGGTGATTCACTGCAGCGAGAACAGATTTTTGTCACGTCTTGTCTTCTTTTCCTGCAAAAATTGCTCAGAGCCTTTACAGATGGAAGTCTTGGGACTGGCCGGTGCAATCAGCTCTCCAAGGACTCTTCATGTGGCCCCCAGGCTGCCTTGCTTTGTTCCTGTGGAGAGAGAGAAATACTTAATGCATCAATTACTCCTGTAACTGACCCACTCCACAGCTTCCCAGTTCTCTTCACGGACGTTCAGAGCTGAGCCTGCTGGCAGTGCTGGGAGCTCTGGGGACACTCACAGCCCTGTGACATTGCCAGTATAGGATACAGAGCCCTTTTCACCCTCAGCAGCCCACAAGAAGCCCCACAAAGCCAGCTCCTGTTCGGACAAGGTATGTGGGAAAGTGGATAGACCCCTTTGGCGTGAGGATGAGATGCTCCTGACATTATCTTGCAGGCAATTAGGAGCAGCACAGCGGGAAACTGGCCATCCCACAGGATTCAAGGAGGTGCTGAGACACAGGGTGTAGATCTGCTTCCCTCTCCTGATCCAGAGTGGCCACATTCCCCTCAGGGAATCACTCCTGGCCTCAACAAGGGCTCAGCCACATCCCCAGCCATGACCATGGAGGTTGCAGGGCCAGCTTGTGGGGAAAGCCCAGCCCCAGGGAGTTTTTACCCTTGGGAAATTGCCCCAGTTCCAGGGAGGTTTCACCCCATGGGATCTGCCCTGTGTCCTCAGATACCCACTGCAGGGCACTGGCATTTGGGTGATGACACTGGTGGTGTCTTTGGTCTCCCTTGAGCTGTGGTCAGCTCTCAGATAGGCCAGGTCCACCCTCGTGCTGCAGGGTGAGATTAAAAAAAAAAAACCAAAGGAAAACATCCAGTTTCTTCCTGAACACCAGCACAGCTCACAACCTGCAGCGCTGTACACAAAGATTAGTAGCAGAATCCCTCATCCAAAAACTGCAAAATAAGTTCTTGGCCTGAGAGATAGATGGGTTATTTGGGCAGGGGTGCAGCAGGATGGAGATCTGGCCTCCAAATCCCCAAAAGGAAAAGTCACATTATAAGGCTACCAGCCCTCCCAGGCTGCAGGGGCAGGCGGCACGGGGAGGGTCTGTGCATGGTGTGAGTGTTTGCAGCTGGTAACCCTCACTGGATTTATCCCTGCGACACCAAAGGCAGCTCAGCCCCGCTGCAAGGCTCTCACCAAGGCTCTGCTTGATGCAGTGCTGCAGGTTTGCGTGGTCCTCCTCCCCCTCTGCCCTGCAGCAGGAATCTACACATTGAGCCAGTGGTTGGCAGCTTTATCCTTCCATTTACAGGCTCCAGAGGAGCAGAAAAGTTTTGTGTCAGTGTATGAGAAAGAAATGTGCCCATGCCACACCTGATGGCTGCTCTAGCACTGGAGCGGGTCCCTTGGGGGGTGACATGCATGTGGGGCACCTAAAGGTGGGTGCTGACTTTATCAGTCTGTCTGAACCACAGAGAGGAGCAGTTGTTCATAAAACAGGTTCTAATTGCCATATCTGCTTAGTTCAGCATCATCCTGGAGCACAGTTTGGCTTAGAGAGGGAATGGATTCCTGGGAGATGTGTTGGGAACCTGGAGCAGACAGACAGTTTAAGAGATTTCCCACAGAAAGCTGCAGCTTGAGGACACGGTTGATTTTTTATTTTATTTTTTCCCTTTGAGTTTCCTGTATGTGAGAAGAAAGGAGAACTTTGGAACCAGGAATAAGAGACCACAGCTGAGCTCTTGGAAGGGGAGAGGAGCCAAAATTGCTGCTTCCTGTAGTGTGGCAGCAGCAAAGAGCAGCCAGGCAGGCAGAGCCCAGGCTGGCAAAGATAGGTCTGAGCCTGGTGGGAGCAGCTCTGGGAGCAGCGTGTACCACTCACTATTATAACCACTATGTTTGTGTAAATATTTAGGATGAGGTACTCAAAATACCTAACGAGGTATCTCCAAGCTTGGTTCAAATATTTAAAACCCATGTGCAAGAGGACCTGGTTTTAAGCACTTCCCTCAGGTAGCAGGTGCAAATCCATTTTGATACCTTTAAATAGCTCCAGGGAAGTACTGCTGGCTTTGGGTGTGTCTGGGGCTTTGAAGTAAAAACAAAGAGTCTCTGTAACCAGGTACACAGCCCAAGGGGGGCAAAGGCAGTGGGAGGGGGGAGATTTTGGTGGCTGATGTGGATCTTCTTTGGGGTGGGTGGGACAGGGTTGGGGGGGTGATCCTGGAGGCCAATTTGGGGGTCAATACCAGGGTGGGTGAGGGAGACAAGGTAAGGGAGGTGACCCTGGGGGCTGATTTGGGGGTCAGTGCCAGGGTGCGTGAATGGGACAGGGTTAAGGATGTGACCCTGGGGGCTAATTTGGGGTCAGCCCTGGTGGGGGTGACCCTGGGGCAGAGGAGTCTGACTGGGCTGGGGGGCTCAGACTGGGTGTGACTGAGCGGGACGAGGGCAGGAGGGCCGGGGGTGGGTGTATCCAAAGGCAGGGTGAGCCCCGGCGCCGGGAGTGTCCCCGAACCCCCCCGATCCCCTCCCGGGATCCCCCCGGCCGGTCCTCCCCGTTCCCGGCGGCCCCCGCGGCGGCCCCTCGCGCCGCTGCCCGGCCCGTGATGCACCGCGGCGCTGGCGCAAGATGGCGGCGGAGCGTCAGGGCGGCGGCGGCCGCGGGGCCGGGGCGGAGGAGAACCGGGACGGCAGAGACGGAAAGGACAACAAGGAGAACGAGCGGCCCGCCGCGCCGCAGCCCGGCGGCCTCGGCGACAGCCTGGGCCTGGAGAGCATCCTGAGCCGCGGCGGAGGGCGGGGGGGAACGTGGCAGGCCCGGCCCCGTGGGCGGCGGGGGGACGTGGCGGCAGCCCGAGGATCGTGGGGCCCGGAGGACGCGGCCTCGCGGGGAGGGACGGGGGGCGGCGGGGACTCCCCGGGTCGGGCCCCCTGCAGCGGCCCCGCGGAGGGGCAGACGGTGCTGGCCCGGCCCGGCGTGAGGGGTTGGTTTGTGTGAAACGGCTCAGCCCGGCATTCCTGAGGTGTGGATTTGCGCTCTGCCTGTGCGGCTTCTCCTTCCGAACCGCGTGGCAGCTGGAGCCAGCCCCCACGGCAGAGCTCTGTGCTGGGTTGTGTGCTTTAGATAGGAGCAGGTCACCTCTGAGCTGCTGATTGTAATATTGAAGCTTGAAGCAATAATGGATAAAAAAATCTTAGCAGGTGCGCAGAGGTGGCCAACGGCCTCCTGCGGATTTAGTGCTTCCAAAATCTGATGTGGCCTGTAAAGCTCGTGGAGGTTTTGTGAAACTTTGATGTGAAACTAGTCCAGCTGCACAGCTGTGGGAGAGCTGGGGTTTGTTTGTCTTCTGGGTCAGAGGAAAACCCAGGTGAAATGAGGTTGGAGTTTTCCACGTGGCATATGGCAGGTGGTGTGTAGTCAGTAACTGTGGAGTAAGATGCAGAAATGGCAATCGCCCTGCTAATATTGAAAATATCTGAATCAATGAAAAAGTACATAATACGGGGGGTATGAATTCAGCAAGTAACTGCACAGGATAAAAGAGAGTCTGAAAAAAATCTTGGGTAGACAGCAAGGACGAGGAGGGCTGTGTTGAGACATTGCAGTTTGAATCGTTCGTTCCACAAATACGAAATAACTCAGTGTAGTAACTATTGGTGCAGGTTCTTAATACTTGAGAGACTTAATTTTAGGTGTAGTTACAAGAAAACACTTTGATAGACATTGGCATTTTAAACTTTAAATGTCTGGTGGTTTCTTTAGGTATAGTATTAGTGTTTCTTTTCAAGGGGTTGTTGTACAGTCTGGTTTTGGGTGTTTTTTAAAGGCTTCTTGATAAAGCTTAAAAGGAAAATTTTAGGATATAAATATATATAGCACAGAGATTTCCTGTTTGTGGTAGAGATTGTATTTCACAAAATAATCTGCCTTGT